AAAACGTGCGAATTTCTCCTTTGACTTGTGTGGTGAGGAAACAGTAAAGTCACTAAGAATTGCTAAGCGGACACCTCTAAATCACGAAGATTTTGTGTGGACGGAATCAATTGTTATTGGAAATACTCTGGCCTGGTATCGATTCGATCCTTAATGTTTGTCCTCCGACGATGATCCTACTGTATCAATCGGGCCCGATCTCTCCCCAGCGGGCCAATACGACCCCCCCCCTCTGTGACATGTCGAGGATTCCTCAACGCACGCTTGACCCTGGTCGTAAGATGCAGTAGGAAAAGGTCAGCTTTGAGCGGGATGGTAACATTGCAAGACGTTTCGATATGCTTTCAGGCCTTTGATAACGACGAAATCGTCGAAACGTCAGGCATAATAAAAATTCCACCATAAAAAACCTGTATGGCACAGCATAACAAGAACACTTATGAAGAATGCCGAGGTTTCAAGAAAGACGGACATGGAGGCTCTCAATGGCAAAGTTCGGGCTCAGACCCACTTGAGAAGAAGCCCTTACCATGGCTAGAAGTGCTGGTACGCAAGTGCAAAGGTAGCGCCACCTTTCTACATCGAAACGCGTCACTAGGACCCTAGGCGCCATGGACTTCTAACAGACTCCACCAAACTTAACATGGTCCGCCCACCGTTCGATATCTTGTCTGCGTCGCCACGTTGATCTGCTATGCTCTCTCTTCTCGGACTTCTCTACCACTCTCCGCGCTCACATCTCCCTGCCTGTCTTTCTCCACAGCATGGAGCAAAATGCTCGTATTTCCTGTGTATTTCAGGATTTTCTTTCCTTTTTTCTCCACTGGCGGTCCACCTCCCATCCCTACTTTCACATTTGAGTGGAATCATCCCATCAATCTAATCCTGCTTCGTGCCTTTAACTACTTTCCTCGGCAATACCGCATGGATTTTATAACATCGAAGGAGGGCTGCACCCGCCTATCAAAATGCCGAGCACGGCGGAGCTCTTGGAAAGGAACAGTCAGAGGTCATTGCTTCATCTTTTTTATGGGAAGTAGGAAGCTATCCTACGAGTGTTTTTTCAGGTAACACATTTGAACGGCAGATATGCGCCCTATTGGTTTGTGCCGCGTGAAGTTGTTAGGTGGACTTTCATTGAAATAGACTAACGTTTCGACTGAACCGGTACTCGGAGACCACACAGTTCCATTATTCGAGCAAACTAGTCCGCTGCCACACGAATTAGTTGTGATCGCTAATTTTTGAAAGAGTAATACGAGGCTTACAATTGTTCATTATTGCCTATCCATCTCTGACGTTGTGCGTTATTTCGCATGAAAAAAAAGCAACAAACATTTATCAATTATTGAGAACAACACCCGAAACTGTACAAACAAAAAAGAGGTACACTGATATAAAAACTGCATAAAGAATATCATTAATTTCAACTGCTGAAGTTATTCGATGTGTGAGGCTGTGAAAAATTCATCGCCACAAGATGTAAACATTTCAAAATACGTCTTAAGGGCTCCGATCAAAAGCTATTCGTCGAAGTTGTGCAAGAATTTTAGAGGTGCGGAGGCCAGAGGCCTTACTTCCTGTTGTCAGCTGTTCTGTTCAATGCGATAACTGACCAAATAATCTAATTCCATCGTAATATAATTATATCTATGATTTCTCGTGGTAGATTACAGTCATTTGATCAAGTTAAAATATAGTACTGCAAAGTTTGGGTCCTGCAGCTTTCACTGAATAGAAAAAATCAAGCACTTTCATCCGCAGAGTCATTAAATATACTCCAAAGGAGATCAACTCTTTAAAACTATCGAAAAAGGCAACAGTAGAAGTATGAAGGAAAGAATCGGATCACTCGAGCTACTACGGTACCTCCAATCAGAATTATACGAGGAATACTGTAATCGTTTCCCGATATAAGAGCTTGAAAATTCACTGCTACCAAACGGTCTGCTGTAGCACACCTGCGTATTACAGTAATCGGTCGCGCAAAAGCACCAATGTTCGAAGATTTCTAGCTGAAATGAGTTTGTTTTAGTCACAAAATGTCGAACTGAGTTACTAATAATTTTTTAATCAATGAATCAATCATAATATTACTTAACCTTATCAAAATCCGCCGGCAAATAGGTTCCGACTTCGGAAGGCTTTGTGTGAGTGCCAAGTCCCAGATGCATGTGTTGGTCATCGGTGAGAAACTGACTTGAACAGCCTCGTCCCACTCCTGAAAGATGCAAGTAACAATTTGCTGAATTCATTGCTCGTAAATTTTTGTAAGCAGTCATACTTGAAATTCAATTGAGTTTTGTGGTGACGGAAGGGTACGTAACTTTCCTACAACGCCGCGCGCGATTTACGTTTGTCACTTTTTATGAGAACGAATACCCAAAAACATGGTCTACCGACCAGTGAAGTCTTTAAGCTTCTTGAAATTCAGATGGAAATCTACGTAAGTCAAATGGGCCGAGAATAAGATTTTATTGACATGGAGAGCAAAACTCCTGCGCGAACTTTCGTTTATCAATGATTGCACAGGGAGGCAGAAGAAAAGGTAAGTTGCTAGGAGCGACCGCCTCAGATGGTTTTCCCTGTGTCCCAGTACTCTGAAACGTGATATTCTTTGTTGCCGTCGCCATTACACGAATAAGCACAGGTCTCGGAAGACAATAGAAATGGTGGCGAACAGACTGAGCTAGCTTTAAAGAGTTAGAAAGTGTTGGGGAAAGACAAACCGGTAACAGTTCTGGTTTTAATTATATTTTGTACCAGCCGATTTTAGAGGACCAACTTTACCAGATACCCTTCAATTTCGGGGTCGGGTGCTAAGATCAATACCTGCTTTACCAGAAGGTATGTGTTCAACTTACGCCAATTGAAACGAAATGCTATACGGTTTTCTATGTTTTGTGACTTGCTGTTTCGGCCCCGCACTTCGCCTTGCCGATTTTTTCACAAGAATGCTGGGTTGTGAACAAAACTTTCGCCCCAGGGGCGGGACTACAAGCTATATACGTATACCATGAAAAGCTGAGTTGGGATGAAATGGTGCCCCGGTAGCGTAACTGGTAGCGCACTTGCCCGGAAAGCGAGAGGTGCGGGTTCTAGTCCCGCCTGGGGCGAAAGTTTTGTTCACAACCCAGCATTCTTGTGAAACATTCGCAAGGAGATGTATACTATTTATTACGCGATGTGACACGTTGAGTTTATATCTGATTCCTATATCTGCTGGGCTCCTCTGCGATGGGTATGAAGCAGAAAAACGCAACGGCAATATTCTGGGCTATCAGATAAGAGGTGGTGAGGTCGATCTCACTCTTTGGCGATGATACTCTTAAGGGGTTCTCACTAATATACAATAGCTAGAAAGATTTTGACATCGCTAGTACAACATGCCTGCTAGATATCTGTACAAAGAATTTAAGGGCGGTTAATAACGAATTCGGGCGGCATCCTCCTCACTATTGTTGGCACCCGTAGCGCAGGTGCCAGGCATTCTTGCTCCGAACAAGTGTGATAGTCGTGACCATGGAGTCGGACCCCCCCCCCTTTGGTAAGCTTCTGGTCAATTCTTAAATATCAACTTAACCTTGAGAATTTGGGCACTCTTTTATTAACTTATCCATCACTCCTCTACAAAGCGGTATTGGGATGAAACAAACCTTCTAAACACACTTCGTAGAAGACTAAGACAGTGTAAGGCTTACTCTGCATCATACTAGGATTTGCAGGCATTATTTCAAATACAATTTCACTCCCCTGTCCCCCGTCGTCCATCCATTGACATCAAACTTGGAGTTTGGGAAGCGGTAATACCGCCACTGCTCCCCTTATTCTCAACTTGGTCTTAACATCAGGTTCGATTGAGAACTCGTTCTAAGGAGTATTTCGAACCCCTATAGACGAATACGCACCTGGATGTCACGAAAAGGCCAAGCTCTTGCGCTACATGCAACGGTGCACTCATTGTTCGGGAAAAAAGGAAAACACCAACCCTCGGAAAGAACTGGACCTGCAATCTTAGCTCTAAAGACAGGACGTTTTAAGATAGAACCTATCAGTTGGGGCCCGAAGCTCACTAAGGCCAGGCGTATGCCTGAGATTTATAATGGAGCTTTCGTTCCGTCGCTCCCTACAGCGGAGAGTTTAGCAGATGGTGAAAGCGGATTTGAGCTCAGCGTCTCAAGGTGCTTGTAAGAATGGATACCACATTTCGTTCGGCCGGTTTGACCTCTCCTGACGAAAAAAGATTTTCTTATTCGGGAACAAGGTGCTAAGGCGGTGTAGGAGCGTAACTTCTCGATAGCAGATAGACCCCGTTTCTTGAACACCCAAATCTGATCATCCGTTCCTGGGGATACTCTTCAGTTACTGATACCCTTTACCCTTGGCACTTCCGATCCCTTTACTCTCCGATTGTTCGATGGAAATCTCCTAATGGTGCATATTTGTGGGATTCTACTGGATATTTTTATTTTTTGGTGGCACAACAAGCCTAGGCCGACCCTTCATGTTTAGCGAATTCTCAGCCTATATTCAGACGAAAATGAACTCACCAAGTGTTCTGGTCTGACCCGTTTCCCTATTTGTTCCATTCAGTGAAAAAATGAAACATGTGGTGTGACAATTTTGCGTCGATTCTGGGGTGTAATCCCTGAAAAACGGTGACGCTGAGTAATGAATTTTTAAATGCATGAAAATGAGAAAAGTTTGGTCCCACCTACGGACGCATTCTTGATCACTCGACGCCAACGCATAATTACGTTTCAGAAAAAAGTGCCGCCACTGCTGAAAAGGAGAGATTTCAGTTTATAAAACATGGTTAGGGGGAGAGCGGGAGAGGAAGGCTGCCAGTAGCGTGTGTTTGCACACTAGATCTAATTACTTGCTTTTCCAATGCACACATGAGACCGTTTACCACCCACACGAAATTGAAGGTGTAAGTAGTGTGTATGTCACCGCAATGTATTTAGCATTTTATGAGGCTTCGAGCGTGATATTACTGAAACGGAAGTATCGGTTTGGAATGGTTAGAAGAAGAGGTGCAGAGGTGGCTTCTAAGTGCAATGAGTCTGAAAGTTAGTAAATGCACGTGCAAAAGGTAGCAAAGAGCGTTTCATATTCCATGTTCAGTCTTCTTGGAACGCGAGCTCGATGTTGTGTGTTTCTTCTTCTGTGCCGTGCAGGTTTTTATGGTGGAACCCGTTTATTGGTCAACGTTTCGACAAACCGTACAGGAGAACCTGTGAGTCCTAAAGACGACGGTTTGTCCTGTACGTCTGTACGGCACAGAAGAAGAAACACACAGCGTTTCAAATATTCTTTGAGATCGCGAATGACGAAGAAGTGGCAATGGCTAGGTAGGATACAAATTGAACATGGACTCATTAGATAATGCATCCGGTGCATTTGTTAACCTGGTTATAGAAAGCAAGGGCTAACCATATCGAAGGTTCGAGAAGGATCAGGGGTAACCTTCCGCCGAACCTTCACCTAACGGTTGTTTCTGCGCGAAAAACTGGCGCGTAGCCCCTCACATACACAAACCCAAGCTCGACACCACCCCAACCACCTTCCATATTTATTTATATTCACTTCCTTTGGAGTGCGGGCGGAAGTGGTGTAGTGGCAAGTGGCGCGCTTACCACGCGAGCGGTCCGGGGATCAAATCCTGGGTCGTGAGTCGCCCGGGCCAACCAAGCCTTCCATCCCTCCGGGGTCGGTTAATTGGTACCAGACTTGTCTGGGAGGATAAAAACACTGACTTGTACATCGGCTGGCCCCCGCAAGTCATTGTATAGGCCACATCGCATTCAAACGCCACTACGAATGTACAAATGGAAGTAGAATGCGTGCCGCATCCCAAAAGGGATTGATCAACGGCAAATGCTTTATCCTTTTATCCTTTACCTCTGGAACTGCTATACTTTCGGTTTCAATTCATTCGTTCATTTCCTTTCATACATGTATTTAAGCTCTAGAAGGTAAGTAGTTTAGTGGCAGGTAGGTTTGCCAAGAGCCCGTCCGTGGGTCAAATCCTAGATCAAATCTCCTCCAGGCGGGCAGGCTTGTCCTAACTCCAGAGTTTTGGCTGGCTTCCGTAGTTCACTGTGTAGGCCAAGGAGCTACGAAAAAGGAGCTACGAAATCAACTTATGAGTAAATGGAAAGGAAATGCGTGGCGCACTCCAAAAAGGATTAATAACGTCAAGTTTTTATTCTAAAGCCTTCATTTGATCTCTCCGTCGCTTTGAAACCGCCACAACCGGAAGAAACAGAACGGTAGAGTCCAATAAGCAGACACGCAGCCTGCCTCTCCCCGCCACGGTTCTAAGGGCAAGGAGAACACTGACCCACTCAGGGACTCATAAAAATTGTGTTCAGGATCCGTACAGAATGGCATATTCCGAAATCCATTGCCCTTCCGGGTGTCATTGCCCTTCATGTAATAGCTTGCGATTATAGCCTAGACCTATATTTCACAGAGTTCATTGCCATTCGGGTCGTCATGGAGAAACTCAATATATCCGACTCACAGTAGCTATATGTATGTATATTCATATAACTATAGTACGAAACACATTAATTACACATATTTGTATCTATCTTTATTTTCAAAAGCATTGAATAGCCAGCTTTCAGCAAGTCTTTTCCTGCACCTTACGGGGAATCCCGGGAGAGAGTCCCAGGGAATCGCCGCCATTCACATGAAAACAGCTCACATTTAGTGGACTGATACAGGACTGCGCAAAGTTCAAAGCCGGCGTAGGTTGAAAAAATGTGTTCCATCAATGGTTCCGCTTATGAATTTTCCTAGATAGTAATGTATTGAGATTGTAAT